GTCCGGGGGGGTGGGGGGGGCCAGGAAAAACGCGGACGCTGACGAGGCAAGCGAACCTGGACCGGACAGGGAGGGGGGGGGTAAAGAGGAGGGAGTAGCGCGCCACAAGCCCGGCCTTGGCCCCGCCCCTTCGGTACTGCCCCGCCCAATGAGGGAGGGGGAAGGGAGGGACTAGCAGAAGAAAGGCGGGCAGATTCCCCAATGGTAAGACTCGTTCCTTCTCTAAGGCGTGTAAGACAAAGTTGCGTGTCTGGTGTCCGCCCAAAAGAACCGCCCCCTCAGTTTGAAAAACCAATGAAAGAGGCAGGAAGTGAGGATGGGTGGAAGCTAGAGATGATAGGCTTAGAAAGAAACCAGTTAATTACCAGGCGGGCTCCCTGAGAGATAGGGATAGGGAGAGCATTGATAGAAATGACAGAATAACGACCAACCAGAATCTTGGACGTGCCTGGGCAAAGTCCTGGTTGGGAGGAGAGTAAAAAGTAGGTAGCAATAGCACAGGATGGAGCTGATCTAAACCAATCAGAAATCAGGCGGGCAGTCAGGAATGTTATGATTGGATTAACACTGAAAAGTGACGGAATACGACGCATATTGACATAAACTAAAAACCAATTGAAAGCCGAATCAACTCTGAGGGTAGGAACTTGGAAAGAGCAAAGGAGAATTGGCCTCTCCCTCAGTTATTCAGCCCAATGAAGGAGCAAAGTAAGTCTGGTACCGCCTCCAAAAGGCCTAATGGGCGTTACTAGAGACGCCCATCATGAGGGAGGGAACAGGGCTGTGCCAAGAGGATCCCGTCGCCATATTGACTCTCCTTAAGGGAAGTCTTTACAGTCATTATGTGGTACCCTTCACCAGGGTTCTGCAACTCAACAAGTGTCAGAGCCAAGACCTTCGGCGCGTGCAGTCCTGCTTCACCGCTCGGGCTCATTTAAGTATTCACTTAACCGCTGCCAAAAAGTACCTCTCGAGTCTTAACCTCCTCCTTGGGTAGGCAGACAGGCTGGCAGATACCTTCCAATGTGGGTGTAAGCCCTGCGATTGCGGGCGGGATCAGATGTGGTGACAGCGCTCACAAACTGAGTTAATACTGAAATGCCTAGTATGCAAGGTTATTGTAAGACTCCAACTAACGCCATTTTATTAAGCTCTCCCAGACTACAGGCGCTAAACACTAAACTTCTCGCTACTTAACTTTTCAAGAGCTTGTGTTTGAGGCTACAGTGCATTGGAGAACCTCCTGGAGTCAAGATCTCCTGAGCCACTTCCTCCCCCACCCCTAGTTGCAAATACCGCCTAAGTATGAAGCAACAGAACCCGAGTTCCTGCTTTTTGCAATCACAGAGATTAAAGGAGATTTTGCCGGAGGCATCTGAATCTCTGGTTTCCATCTTGCCTCCTTTATGCTTGTTTTAGTGGAGGCAGCCTTGAAGTCTTGTCAAATGACAGTGTCACTCCCATTACCATTTGTACCTTATATGCTGTTTCTTCATTACCTACAGTTCGCTTCATTATATGTTCTCATGTTTTAAAATCTGGATTTCCTTCTAAAACTTTTTATAACCCTTTGAAGGTAGGAACTGAGACCTCTGCCTCTTTGGGCAGGGCCTAGAAAAAATTAAGTGAAGCCAGCACAATGGTGCACACCAGCAATCCCAGCAACTAGGGAAGTCAAGGCAGGAGGATCCCAAATTCCAGCTCTAGCTAAGCAATTTAGTAGGACCCTGACTCAAAATTAAAAGATAAAAATAGCCAGGCACAGCACCTATAATCCCACCCTCCCGGAAGACAGAGGCAGGAAGGTCACAAGTTCAATTCCAGCCTCAGCAATTTAGCCAGACCTTGTGACATTATGTAAAATAAAAAGGCTGAGCATTTAGCTCAGTGGTAAATCTCCTCAGTGTTCAATCCACAGGACTGGGGGAAAACTCAATTTCTTAGACTCCCACCCCAAACCTAATAAATCAATCAAAAACTGGGGTGGGGTTTGAGAATATACATTTTTAAGTAGCCCAAGTGATTAGTCCTTAAGCAAGTTTAAGAAACACTAGGGAAGAAACTGGAGAAAAGAAACTTCCTGCAAAGAAGAAACTGTATTACTCATCTTTGTAAACCAAGCTTTGAAGATACTAACAGCTGTTGGTGTATTCAGCAATAGACCACACCTAAACTTGCTAGGGGGTGTAGGGGAAAGGAGCCAACTCTGGAATAGTACTCTAAACATTTCATATATATTGTCTAACTTAATTCTTTCTACAGATTTAGGAGATTTATGAGACTGGGAATATAGCTAAGTAGTAGAGCACTTACTTGCCTAGCATGTACAAAGCCTTCTATTCAATCCCCATTGCAAACAACAACAAATGGGGTGGGGGGGTCATCCCTTGTACAGAGGAGAAAATAGGCTAGACACTTTAAACTATGATTGATCTATATTTATTTCCAAAGCTTGTAATTTTTCTATGGTTCAGTGCTAGTCTATGACTGAATGGGAACTATAGTTTTGATTTTATTCCAGGTACTGAGAAAAAAAGCCTAGATTTAGACTAAAAAATTCAATAGCCATCGTCCTATTTACAATCCTTTCCCTTCACTCCTTCAGAAAAAAAATTCAGCCCCTGACCACTGAAGGATATCCTACACATAGGCTAACTTATTGATAGGTCATGAGAGCATATGAATAATGTGCTCTCTCTTGCTCAATTCTTCGGTAAAAATATGAACAAGAGCTGGGCACAGTGGCACACAGCTGTACCAGCGGCATGAGAGGCTGAAACAGGAGGATCAAGAGTTCAAAGCCAGCCTCAGCAACAGGCACTAAGCAACTCAGTGGGACCCTATCTCTAAATAAAATACAAAACGCCAGTAACATTTTCATTTTGTATTCTCAAAGCCTGGCATATAGTTGATAGTCAGTAAATACTTGCTTTTTTGTTTTTGTTTTGTGGTGCTGGAGATTTAACCCATGGCTTCACACAAGCTAGGCAAACACTACTGCTGAGCCATAACCCCAGTCCTCTCCATTCCCAGTAAACACTGCTACCATTCAAAGGAAAGCCTAGTCTTAACATTCCTGAATAGGTCTGCAGGCATTACAATACTAACAACTGATTCTCAGCATTCATTTGATTGCATATACAAGTTAAATATTCCTAATTCCTAACTTTGAAGCTTTTCTTCAGCTGTCATCACTTTCCCAGTTAGCAATCTGATAAATTAGCATATACTGAGAAGGTTGAGGTAGGATCACTGCTTGAGCCCAGGAGTTCAAGACCAGTCTAGATAATATAACAAGACTGACCTCACCTCAAAAAAGTGAAAAGTAGGACTGGGGCTGTAGCTCAAGAGTAGAGTGCTTGCTTAGCACTTGTGAGGCACTGGGCTCCATCCTCAGCACCGCATAAAAATTAATAAAATAAAAGTATTGTAAAAAAGTTGTTTTTTAGATTTTGATGGACCTTTATTTTATTCATTTATTTATATGAGGTGCTGAGAATCAAACCCAGTGCCCTACACATGCTAGGCAACTGCTCTACCACTGAGCCACAATCCCAACCCCATGGGAAAAAAAATCTTAAAAAAAAAAGAAGTAAAATATAAGGGCAGGGGATGTAGATCAGTGGTAATGTTCATCTAGCATGGACAAGAATCTGGGTTCCAGCTGGGCACACTGGCGCATGCCTGTAATTTCTCCGGAGGCTGAGGCAGGAGGATCACAAATTCAAAGCCAGCCTCAGCAATGGCAGGGTGCTTCGCAATTCAGTGAGTCCCTGTCTCTAAATAATATATAAAAAAAGGACTAGGAATTTGGCGCAGTGATTAAGCAACCCTGAATTCATTCTCCGGTACCAAAAATAGGAAGAACCTGGATTTCATTCCCAGCATCACAAAAATAAATAAATTGTAAAAAATAAAAATATAATAAAATATACAGATGATCATCCCAAACCATTCTACACTGTCATTCTCATCATTGTAATCTTTCTTGTTCATAAACTCTCCACTACAGCTATTAAGTCCAAAGTAGACTGAAATTTCTTACCTGTCCTACTTACTATAGGATAAAGGTTAGAAAAGAAAATCCTTTTTTTTTAAAGAGAGAGAGGGGGGGGGGAGGG